CGACTTATTTCATTATAAATAGTCAAATCAATCAACAGTGGTACACAATTTTATGTAGAAAGAAGCTCCCTATCCCCCATTGCTGGAGATGTATTATGAATTTATTTTACTGTAGTTTGAACTTCACAATCAGAATGATGATCGCCGTGACGTAATTTCTTTAATTCCGCTTCAAGTTTTCATGCCTCATCTGTGTAAACCGGCGGTATAGAATTCAACATGTAATACAAATAACATAACAATATTTTTTTATCATTAAGGCCAGACTTTTTTTTATTCCTTGTTTCGCAATTTTTATAAGGCAGTTTTTTTGAGAAGGGCGGAAAAAAAATAAAATTAATTATTTTTTTCTATTAGATTTGTGTGATTCTCAAAGAATTGTAAGTGAGATCATTGATCGGAGGGAAGAAATGAAATAACATTTTGTTCCATGTATAACCTTGTTTCTCATCTGCGCGAGACATCGGTACTTTGATCATGATACTCCCACGAAAATGCAACTTGGATTTGTTATGCGGCGGGCGGTAAAAAAATTAAGATAAAAATAATATTTTTTTAGCATTTTTTTTACGCTTACAAGTCGGCGGGCGCGAGAAATTACGCTGAAATAAAATTATATTTATTTTTATTTCATTTTCGGCTCCTGTTCATTCGGCGGGTTCGCGAAACAAGGAATAATAAAAGTCTGGCCTAAGCTTGCACTTGACAATACTAGTAATATCAGATTTATACACTTGGATTGTGACCGGACACATGTATAAGTAATTACAGGGTGATTCATCTCCACGTCGTATGGAAGTGTAGACACGTAACCGAAATTTAAAGGGCGGCGGTCGTCGCGCCGCGCATGTTCAACCATAGACCCTCCAGTACTGGAGGGTCTATGGTTCAACCTCTGTGCACGGTTGGTAAAAAAGAGTAACCGTGCTCTGTGTTTTGATAAACATTGATTTTCCCATAATCCAACGCGCTCTGCTAATTACGAGTACGAGATGGGCGCAACATGCACAAATTACCACCGGTGGCTCCTTTGATACCAATCGCCAAAAAAATCTACTTGAAGCTTAGTAATGCCTCACTTTAGGCTGAATGGAGTACCCTCTCCGAGTAGTCTGTTGACGGGCTCAGCTGCCTCGGGCAGATATATTGAGAGAATCTTGAACCAATGTTGCTATGTGAATGCATGGTCCGCACGTCCTCCTCAATGTCTGACGTTTCAATAACGCTCGACGTGTTTGTATCGTAACATGGTAATTGCAATATAGCCCCTCAACGTACTCTTATTGTACCAATCGCGTATAGTTTTAAATGAGTTGTTTATAAAGAAAACAACTCAAGTATTGGACGTGCTTCTCCAACTAATCTTAATAAAAAAAATGCCTCACATCGTTGTTTTCAATGTTTTTTTTTTTTAATAATGTTTTTTTTTTTAATAATCCATTTTCGAATCCCGTCTACGGTTCGGTGATGACACCCTAAGATGCTGAAAAATCATTCACAACCGAATTTACGGAACTGCTCGGTGAAGTTCGGCTACTGACAAGACGGGTATCTTGAGAATAAGTGAGCCTTGAATTTATTACAATACACATATTGCTTAACATGTTCAAGTATATTTTACAATAAAATACTTTTTGTCTTAAAGTCCAAGACTTATGAACAGTCATACAACAGAAATGTCAGTGTAGCAAAGTCGACTCCCTAGTGAAAGTAAAAACGTTCTTATTAAATTATAAATAACTAAATAACACAATACTTCGCTTATCCCCAGCGAGTGAAAAAACACGCTATTCCTCACAGTTGTC